ACCTGTGTGTGACAAAAAGATTTCAAATTCAGCTGCCCAGGACTGCCCGGGGCTTACGTACGGACACGTGAAAATCATGCGGGAAAATTCATAACTCGGGAATGAGAAAAGCTAGAAACTTGAAACTTTGGAGGAATGTTCCCTACTCATGTACGACCAAAAGTCTTCAAACTGAGATCCATAGGACAGCCCGCGGTCCACGTACGGGCACGTAAAAATTTTTGGCGCGAAAATTACTAACCCGGAGACGGGAAAAGCTAGAAGGCTGAAACTTTAGAGGAATTTTTCCTACACATGTATGACCAAAATCAGGTATTCAGAAGCGCCCGGGGCTCACGTGCAGGCACGTGGAAATTTTGGCGCGCAAATTACTAATCCGAGGATGGGAAGAGCTAGAAAGCTGAAACTTTAGGATAATGCTCCCTACTCATGTATGACCAAAAGATTTTAAATTCAGCTCCTTAAAACCGTCCGGTAATCACGTAAGAACACGTGAAAATCTTGGTGGGAAAACTGCCAATTTGGGAACGAGATAAGCTGAAAGCTTTAATTTTAAGGGAATGTTCTCTACTCATGTGCGGCTAAAAGATTTCAAATTTAACTCTTCCAGTGCGGCTTTTTTTGCGGATCAGCAAATTTCCATTCGTCGGATCATTGAAGCCGGCATTTACAACTGACATACCATATAGTTGCACAATTAACTTCCCGAACTTCGAGGGCCAGTATGTCACAAGGTTAGCTACGGTGATTCCTTGCGATCTTGCTACGGCACGAGAAGTGCAAAAACATATAATCGCGCCCGCTCGCCTGGTGCGTTCCCGCCTGGGTTTTTTCTTGTTTTTGCTTTTCTTGCTCTCATTTGTGGGTTCAGATTTTTTTGATTTCGCTTTTTTTTTTCTTTTATTCATAGGCTTAGATTTGCGTTCACTTACTCTTGTAGTGGTTTGTTGTCTTTTTGTTTTTACTGCTGTCTCCAATTCTTGCCTCGAGCTCTTGACTTATATCCTTGTTCCCTTCTCTACCCTTCCCCTAAATTCTGCCTCCAAAGCAACACTCAATCCTCTCGAGCTCCCTCCCTCGCCTTCCCATAACTGTACTCTCCAACCAATTACATCCCAGCCCCTCCCCTCTCTCTCGTCTCCGTCGCCCAAACCATCAACACAACTCCCACCTTTTCCACTCACCATTCCCCAAATCTACCTCATCTAGCCACTAAACCCAAGCATACTGTACGACCGAGCCGATCTTAGTTGCTTGTCTCGGTCCTCCCCCTGTCTGAATTCCCACGGTCGAAACCCGCAGAATGTCCTCCTGCTCCGCACCCACCATCCCGCAAGTCTACGCTACCCACTCCCAGGTCCCCATCAAGAAGGATGGAGAGGGAGGAAAGGGAAAGAAGGGCGGACAAACCCGGCCCAACCCTTCATTCCCCCTTCCACCCCTACCTCCAGCTTCCATCCATCCCGTACCCACCGCAACTTGATCCCTGTACCGCTAAGCCCAACCAAGCTTTTCGAAGTCATCCTTCCTGAATAATCTCCAAGTTGGTTCGTTGCCAGAACGGAAGATTACACGTATGTGGTGATGAAGGACTGTTGCAGCTAGGCGGATGGGAGTGTTCCTGGGATGTTTATCCGGCTTTGTTGTGTGCAGGGGTGGGTGTAGGTGTTCGGGGTGTTGGTTGTTGTTGTTGGCACGTCAGGCTGTGATTGAGATATTTGCCTGAAACGAAGCACGTGAACATATAGGGATGGAGATGTGGCGGGAATGGGGTACTGAGAGGTGGAATCTTCTGTGCTTTTCCCGGTGTAAACTGTCGGGAATGCCTGGCTTCGTGCTTTTTTGTACATAGCGGACGCGAAAAACAGGTCAAAGAGGAGGGTCGTGGATCGCTTTTGCGCTACCAAAATTATGATAAGCCGACTGTAGCAACTAGATTGACCTTTAAAGCTCTAAATGACGAAAGCACGATAGATTACAGCATGAAAGAGCAATGTGAGAGAAGAAGAGCATGAGAAGAGAAGGTAAGGGTGAGATAAGAGAAACTGAGTCGATCGGTGCAAAATTCGGCAGTAAACGGGAAAATTGCACACGTGTTGAACGTAAATTTCAATCGAATTGGTTCTGGAGGGCTGTCCGGTATGTGCTAAATTGCACTGATGAAGCAAACACCGGCACAGTTTGATTAGCATTCAGTTACCGCTCTCAGACTTGGTACCGGCTTTGATATGCAGATTCCTGATAGCGCAGGAACAACTGCAGATGTGCCAGATTTAGCAGCGCAAGCATCAATGATCCGCGTGGCGATCCAGTTAAGTAGTCCCGCAAAAATCTGATTGGGAGCTAGCAGATCTGCTAGCCTTCTAAAAAACCCGTGAGACAAATTTGGCACGAATTGGTGCCAAAAGAGCGATTGAGCTACCAGTAATGAAATTGTTGTGTAAATAAGGTGATTTTTACCCACGTGAACAAATTCATTTTTTTTTTTTTCATTATTTTTTTGCAGGTTAACGAAACCGCGCAGCTTTTAACAGGGCTGGTCAGAGCAGAGCATGGATTCAGCCGCCGAATTGCTGCACATTCCGTGTCGATCATCCGGACAGCATAACATGAGCGCATCGGAGTTGTGCGATAACGATGACATGGCAACAAGTTTGGTCGTCGATTCGGTGCTCGGATTTCGCACCCACAAAATGAGCCTGAAGTAAGTGCCCTGCTGAATTTGCAAATTAGCATGACGAGCTTAGTGGGAGAACTACCACTTCCTTTCCTGCCATATCTCGGGAATTATCGATTGCGCCACCAAGACAGTCTCTCTCTCTCTCTCTCTGGACATTTCGTTTATTCCTTCCACGAGGATGGATTTTATGCCCTTGCATGCCGGGGATTGGCATTGGCTATCATCCTGCTTCGTAGCAAGTCTCGGAAGAAGGAGACATCGATAGTTTTGCCAACGAGTGATTGTTGTTGACATACGCGTTACTGATTGGACTGCTTCCGAGTGCTTGCAGAGAATGGAATAGTAGATTAGAAGGATTGGTCTTAAGTGTCATGTGCCGGAGGGCATTTTACGATACATTCTGTGTGTTTCATCTCTTAGCTGTAAACACAGACCGAGCAGTGTATGCCGGTACGAGCGGGAATCATCAGTACAGCCTCCTAGCCGTCACGTTCTGAATAGTCATGTGACTAATTTGCAAGACAGATATGCGAAAGAAAGAGAAACCGGAGAGAATGAGAGAGGATGAGCAAACGGAGTGAAAGAGGAGAATATGTGGTGGGGTTTTGAGTTTTGTTGTCTGGTATCATAATACATAAAAGCAGTTTCCCGATCAACTGCATGATTCGGAATCTCGGAGGTGCACAAAGCTAATGTCAGGTGGAGGGAGAAATCCATATTTTTCACTGGCATAAGCGATTTAGAAATGGGAGGAGAGGGAAAACCTGTAATTTCCACGTTGCACAGACAAAATTGATTTGCAGCTACCGATCACCAAAACGACACGAACAGACTGAGCTGAAAGAAATTCTGGAGAAATACATTGGCGATCAGGACATGCGTTCAACGATTCAGAAAATCTTTCGTGTCAAACGAGTGAGCAGATTCCTGAAGCAGCGAACTCTGCCGAAACAGATTGCATTCCGAGACCACGTATGTTCTTTTGGCCATCTCCATCTTTGCTTCCACTTGCTTGCTTAATATGTAACGCTTATGCAGTTTGGAAAACGACGATTTCGTTCGAACTTTGGCTGCCCTTCTTTTCCACCGCTTTCTTCTATAAAAAGGAAGATAGCATTTCCAAAAGTACTAGTCGGATCCCGAAATTCTTCTAGACAAATTTTACATTTTGTTCATTCCTTCCCCCATCTTCGTTACTGCATACTCCATCATTTTCCTTCTTCTGGTGCTCTTCACCCGTTTCTTCTTTCTCTGATGACTATACCTGCTTAAATATCAAACGTGCATTCGTATATCTCCTCAATAATATTTCCGATTTTCAGCTCCTCAGGTTTTTGCAAATGTTTACGAGCAGTTCTGGCTTCACAGTGCAACCGTGTTTTCGTTACAGGGCAGAAAATCGTCGCGGTGGAATGTTGGTTGCCACAAAGCCATGGTACATACGTTTCATTCTTCTTTTTAGAGAGCGCTGAAACGAGTTATCGTGGAAATCGAGTTCTGATTTGTCTTGGACCCGTTCTCACGTTCTGTATCTGAATACTTTCCCGTGATGCTGTACTTTAAACCTGTGTTCAGTCTGCTTCTAATATCAACACTCGTCTTCTTTCATTTTCTTTGTTATGTGATCTTCAGTTGATGAGGAAATTTCTTCAGGCAAAAAGGCGACGTAATCGACAGCTTAGTGGGCGTTCTCGGTGATCTCAGAAATGACAAAGAATTGCAACTGCTTCGAAAAGATGTGAATGATTTCTCAGTAATGTACAGCACAAGGTGCGTTCAGTCCCGCTGGTTTCCTTTTTCCGCAAGTTAAAGGTATTTTGAGTCTGCATGAAACCCACTATACTTCACTTGATCTCACTCACTCAAGAAGCATTCCTCATTTTTATGCGTTTTTGCTTTGCAGCGCTACAGCAAGCAAAAACGCATATTGTCGAGAGGCTGTCTGTGTGTGTGTGTTCGAAAAGCGAGTGCATTTTGTCACCCACTTTCAACTAGACAACCAGGAAAGCTGGAAGGCTGAAACTTTGGGTATATGTTCCTACCCCGTGTGTCATCCTCCCGTTATAAGATCTTCCCCCATACGCGCCTAAACCCCGCGCACGAGATCCCCAAAGAAATATGTTGGCGGGAAACGACTTCGCGAACCAGGCAACGTAGCTGAAAATTTGCAGGGATATTCTCTATGCAAGTGCGAGATAAAAATTTTAAACGCGGCCCTCTAGCTCCCCAATCACAGCCTCAAGCAGCTCCTGAATCCAG